TTTCTGCCACACTAGGTAGAAAGCTCTGTGGTCACCAGTCAGTCCTGAAGCTGGATGTATTATTCACTCTTATTTGACCTAGACAGTGTAATGACATATTTTGGGGCACAAAGGAGCACTGCAAAATGGCCTGGTGTAATAAAAACTGGACATATTTAGAATGAAATGAATGAAGTATTTACAGGAGATGCTGCATCCATTTGGCACTGGGATACTGGTGAGACAGGTGAGGGGTGTAGGGAAAGAATGTGCTGTGGGATAGCACAAAAAAAATCATCTCATTCATTTTTCCAATTTAGTGGTATTATTTTCTCACTACAAATAGCATTTTTTTTAGAAAAAGAAATAACACAGTTTCTATTTACATAATGACTGAATGGAAATAGCCCAAAAGTTTCAATAAATTCAACTGAGGGAGAGCTCGATGATTTTATTATTTATTATAGTCCATTCTTAAGATAAAATTTTTAAAAATTAGAACCAATTCTTAACACTATCGGGAAAAGTTCACTTTCTCAAGAGAGAATGTGTTTAAAATTTATAACTTAAAATACCAACAGTCAGAAATTCCTCAAGTTTCACTGGAAATCAGATGGAAATTCAATCAATGCATGTGCAAATTGTGCTTGTTGCCTTGGAAACAACACGATAGTGTAGTGAGGGCAGTTGCAAGGAAATTTCCTGTACATAGCATTGAGGAAAACATTAATATTTAACTAGTAAATGGAAAGCTTTAGAAAATATTTTCATTCATACAACGTGGGCATCACTAACCAGGCCAGCACTTTTTGCCCATCCCTAATTACTGAGTGAGCAAGTAAGAGTCAACCACATTCCTGTACATTTGGAGTCACGTGTAAGCGAGACCAAGTATTTCCTTCCCTAAAGGACATTAATGAACAAGATGGGTTTATAAGACAATTAACAGTAGTCACATGGTTGCCATTAAGCTAGCTTTTTATTCCAGACCCTTACTGAATTCAAATTTATTTGAATTATTTAAACCATCTGCCATCGTGGGATTTGAACCCATGTTCTGAAAATATTAGCCTGGTGTTGGCTTTAAGTTCTTGACAATGTCAGGAAATGAAGTTGACTTGACAGATGAAGTGTCAACAGTACCTAGTACTGAGGATAAATATTGTCTGCTGGTTCAGCTGTCTTTGCTGCTGGACTTCTATGTAATTATCCAGTTCTCTGATTATCTCACTGGCATTCAGATCTAAATAAAATAAACTTCTTTTCAAAAGCTTCTATTCTTTGAAATTTGCATTCAATATGCATTTGAAATTATGCTGGCTTGATTATATTTCAAATTTTCACTTAAAGTTCATTAGCTGAATCACAAACCTAGAATCTTCGATGAACTTGTGTAGACAGAGAGCCTAATAGAATCTAGTTGTGTTTCTTTTCTGATTGGCAAACAATATACTGTTGTATTTAAGAGGTTTAATCCCAGCTATTTTTGCTGAAACAAGATAAAATAAGCAACCTTAATAAAAGTGAGCCCTCTGCCTCTGAACAAACAGATATAAAATCACCAAACTAAGTGTACATTAGCAAAATGAATGTTTCTTGATATGAAAACTTTAAAAATCCATTGACTACTGACTGTGCACCTATGAAAATAAACACATTTTAGCTCTCAACCTGGCCCATGGCTGGTTTTGGGGTGGGGTTTTATCCATGTTAAATTGTATATTAAAAAAGTCTAAAAGATCACTGGAAACTGAATGACAGTGGTTTTGGAATTTTAATGTGGTAAAGCCGGTGGCTTCCTGTGTGACTGACAGGTGAAAACAGTTGCAAACAGATGGTGTCAAGAAGCTCACAGAAATGAACTGACTTCCATCCTTTAGCTAAGCACAATCTGCAGCAAATGGGAAATCCCTACATGTGCCACTTAAACAAATGATGTGCACATTAGCTTCTCTTTCAACATAGAATCCTGAATTTAACAGAGTGTGCACTTCCTGGAACTCTCCAGGAAAAAGAGACTGAGAAGAAAGAAATGCTTGAATCATGTTAGAATGGGCCATTAGTTAATTCACACAATGCAGACACAATGGCCTGAATAGTCACTTTCTATGCTGTAATTTTTCTAAGGTACGACAGAGATTTGGCGGCTGCTTCCTTACTCAGATGAAAGGCTTTTGCTCACAGATTATTCTGAGAGTGTGTTTCTGCTGCTTTGGTGGTGACTTCCACCACTTTGCAAACATTTCCATTATTTTGAAATTTTTTTTTCACTTTTGACCAGCGCTTCCCAGCTGCCAATGTTCAGATCAGCACAACCATTCTACACTGGATCTCAGATGGAGAACAATAACAGCTGCGTTTTCCTCAACTCACCTTCCACTTTGTAGGACAGATGAGATGAAAATTGAAATGTAGCTCACAGGACGGAATATCCCAAGTTAGTGCACACAGGCAAAGGTTTTCCTAAAGCAACTGAGCACTAGTAACCCAGGCTTGTCCATCAAGTGGTCTTGCACCAAATGAACCAGATAGGAACTCATGGACAGTGCCAGTAAAAGGTCACTTTAATTTTACCTCTGCCTCCTTTCAGAGAACTCCTAGTAATATTGTTTGAATCTCACAAGCGGCTGCCCACAAGTGTACCTTGCAGGCAATGGATGTCATGCTTGTGAACTTTGTTTCTTATGAAGCCTGTTAGATGATCGAGTGCTTTATTTTGCTATTCTGGCTGGTTTTCCATGAGTCATGGGAGTCTTGAAACACAAATCACAATCACAGCATCTTGACACCACCAAGAATGTCTTCAACAAGTGAACCAGGTTTCCACTCCATGAACCTTCAGTTGATCCACAAACACTCTCAGTTCATCATGAACATGTCTGAAGTTCACCAGGAACACGCCACGATATATTTATTTACCAGTCAAACCTTCTTGACACATTCATACTTTGAACCATAGCCAGCCGATGATACTTCGGAAATGTTACCTTGGAATACATGGTTGAAGGCATGTGACATTGGGACATGAGGCAGCACCTCCTACTGAAGGGAATGGCAATGAGTGAGAATTGAACAGAGCTCCAATTTCATGTCTCCCATCTTCTCTGCGATGATCAGTCCTCCCCCCACCCCCCCAAACACTTTCTTACTAGATAAGAACTAGAGAACTTTGCTACAGCTTAATGAGACACTGAACAGCCAAGTCAATGTCTTCCACTTCTAGGCACTGGTGAATAAACCTTAAGAGGGACCCCCACAGATTTCAACATTGTTGGCTAAGAGCTTCTCAACTGTTACAGCCAGGACCTTAGCAGATGGACTGTACACCACTGAAGGCATAAGGGTTGTACATTGTGGGAGCAATAGGAAAGGGGAAAGCAAAACTATATAATTTGTGCTTTTTTTGAGAACATTTTATATTATTAAATTTTTGTTGTTTCATACAATGCTATAAAATAGTTTGCATCACATTTCCCTGTTAGAATTGATAGTTGTCGGGTGGCAACTCACGTTTTTTTAGTTGTTTGTTGGTGAATTCGAGGACCAATGGGAAGGGTGTGAAATGCGTGGCTGATGGACCTGGTTGGTGCGGGGGAGTGTGGGAGGGGAAGGAGTTGAGAATAATGGCCATGCATGTCACCTGTACACCAGTACAATGGTAATGAACATCAGCCATAAACAGAATCCGTAACATCCCAGGAAACAAGGTGAGCAGCTGGTGCCGCTTTCAGTTCACCATCTTCCTCTTGTTCCTGCACCTCTTCAGGGGAGTCAACTGCAGATGGTTTATCCTCTGCTCCTTATTTCTCCTGTCACTGCAATCCTCACTGCTAGAGACTGAGTACAGCACATTATGATCATTGCAGGCACTCTGGTTCACAAATTCTGATGTCCTGCAGATTTGTCCAGGGACCTGAACAGCATGCTAACCATGTGGATTGCTTGTTCAATGACACATGCTGTCATAAGCCTGTCTTTATACTGTGTATACATCTTCGCTGGTGGTCACTCACAGCTGTACACAGCACACAAGCTAAGTATTAACAGAGTGGAATCATTGGCAGTTGATAGATATTCCTGGTTGGTAGGGCTGCACAGAGTATCGTGTGTATGTGGTCAATGGTATTCAGCAACGTGAGAAACCATCCAGACACACACAGCAGAAAGCCCACTCATTCATCCACTGTGGGCAAATATTCATGACATTGCGGATGAAAGAAAACAATCAATCACTAGTCTGCCATTTTTATTTATGGGAAATCATAAACGTGCTTCCATTAGTGCCCTGGAAGGACTCAAATGCAAAATTGTTGCAGGTGGTGGTCTCCTCCGTAACTACCTGACACAGTATTCCAAGCCTCCAGAAACATTGGTCTTCTGAAAGGTCAAGGAAACTGGGCATCTGACTGTATACTCTGTTATACAAGCAGTGCCTTTCTACTGCTTTCCTCTGCATTGTTCCCTGCTCTGTTGCCCACCTGTAGGACTCTCTAGAACAGACTGATACTGCTGCTGCTGCTGATGATGGTCACCTTTGTTCCTCATCTGAGGTGCAACTGAGCCACTGTGCTGCCCGTTCTGATCTAAAGTCTCAATTCCTGGAGAGTGCACAAGTTAGCCACTCGCCACGAGTAATCTCAATAAATCTCAGTCACAATGGGAGGTAAGGATGCAGCTTGAACACTAGGCATTTATTGATGCCATATGTTTGTCTTTTAATGGGCCACATGTATTGCCATTCTGTAACCACTTTGGCTTCAAAGGCATGTTTTAGAAAGTTTAACAAATAATTTTAAATGTCAGTTAAAATGTCATTGAAATATTCAAATTGCTATTAGCCTCTCTTGAGAGGTTTACACATATGCAAATAATCACACCAGAGTTCAATAAGGAAATAGGTGTAACAAAGTTGCTTCTGCACTGAAATAACTCCACAAAGACTGGTATCCCATCATCAAGTCACCCTTTATTTAAATGTGGAGAGTCCTTGACACTGATTCAGCTCCCTCACAGCCTCTGTCACTCTTGTTCTTATCTGTCAGCCAGGGCTCCCTAATTGGACCAGATTAACAGCTCCAATCAGGGAACTCATATTCTATGAGGTCCACCTGGCTCACTTAGTTACAATCACTATATGAACATCCTCACATTTTCATCAAGTTGAAACCCCTCACCTACACACTGCTCATTGTTAAACAAATCTCCCTAAATAACTTGTATTTACCAGTAAAAGTAAGTCCTACCAAACCACAGGGCTGTTGCCTTGTTAGAGACACATGGTGGTGGTTTAAACGGAGGGTGACCACGCTTCAGGCAAAGGGAGAAGTTGAGATGGAGAGTCCTCTATGGTATCCTCAACCAGTGCAGGAATTGAACCCACCCTGTTGGCATCACAAACCAATTGCCCAGCCAACTGAGCTAACCAAACCCCATTTACCATTATGTTATATACTTGTGCCTTATATTCAATCAATAGTGCAGCAGTAATTAACTGCTTTGCCAGTTAATTGTTACAAATACATATTGCTTACCATGACATTGACAGCATATTTGCAGTTGTGTAATTAAATAGTTCTATTATACAAGCACAGAACTGAAACTTTCAAATCAAACAACCATTGTTATTTAATTTAGCATAAAGTATATTGTGTAGGAAATTAAATAAAAAGGAATTTAAAAATAATATTACCTGCAACTATTTGAATTTAGTACATTAAAGAGTTGACTCCCTGAGAGTTGCTTTATTATCAGTGGTAAATAAATAGCCCTAGTGTTGTGTTGTCCCTCTTATAAAATATATTTTCATAAAGTATGAAGGACACTTTTCCATAATATCTCATCTTAAAATACCTCACCGTAATCTAAACTTTCATGTTATTACAAAGAATGTCATATAAATGCTCATGTAATCGCACAATCAGAATGATACATTAACCCACTGTTAGTCGTCTTTTGTAAGAGTTCCAGTCTGAGAGTGTGGGTCTTTACCACGTCTCTAAAACTGCTGGTCTAGACTTGACGATCTTTGACATAGATTAAAATTATTACAGCTAGATATAGTGAAATATTTTCTTCAGAAACCATTTCTGATACTAGCCAGCTTTAACTGCAGAGTTGTTAGTAAAATGCTTTCCCAACAGGTCTCAGTAAAACATGGATTGCTAATGTGTGAAGATTGTGGAGAGAAGCCAATGGACTGAATTTCACTGTCAGAAATTGGACAGCTCACAATCCCCACCTCCACCACACCAAATGTACAAATGGAAAATTTGATATGATGACATTTGATGACATTGGGTCAGCAATCCAATGTCATCCAGCCAGACTCCAATAACATGCAAGGCAAGTTGGTGCCAGAACCTGAAGAACACTGCTCTTTTCAAATAACCAGTTAACAACCTGTTGAGTTTGTTAATAAACTGATCAACTGTAATCTTTTATTGCCCACTGTATTTTTCCCTAGTCATATGGTAAATACATACGAGGCAGTACCACCAAGTAAGAGGAGGCAGTGCACGGGTGGATGAAAAGGGGGCCATAAGGGCATGTAGCAGCAGAGTCTACTTTTGAAGGTGACAGCATTTGGCTATTAGCAGACTTTGTTTCTTAAGTTGTTATAGTCTGGCATATTGATCATGCAAAGTGTGAGGAGAAGGTGTGCCTTTAAACTGGTGGCTGCAACGGATGAATGTGTTTTACATAAGCAAGAGGGGATGGGGGAACAGCCCACATGATTTGTCTGACTAACTTCTTGGCTTAACCTCTTTCCAAATTGATAAACAATGAGGCATAGTGCCCTCTTTTTCAACACAGCCAGCATTCCCACTGGCCAGCCACAACTTGGTTAGTTGACATTGGATTCAACATGCTGACAAGAGAGGGGCCAGAGAGACACAATGCACACTCCCTGTTTCAGGCCTGTACCTACCAGAAACTGTAAAATCCAGCACACTGTCATCAACCGTGCGTTGAATTAATTCATTTTTTAAAAAATGTTGCCTATTGAAAGTTGCATTTTACAAGTTGGTCTTGATCAAAATCCTTAACATTGAGGATGAATGAGTTTTCAGATCCTTGGGAAAATCATTTTTATGAATATTGAATAATAGTTTACCAGAACATGTTTTGAAATATTATTAAAATTGTCAGTAGTTTATTATTCACATGGACCCACACCGTGTCTGTGGCAGCTTTGATTCTAGATTTCATGAGAGTTTTTAAGACTTTGGAAGTAGGAAAGCACAAACAAGCAGCCCAACATAATACATAGCTCAACATAAACATGATGTGACTAAACATCAACATTCAACATTCCATTTAGAAAGCTACTACTGAACATTCCCGATTACATTACAACATACAGAACTGAAGCCTGTTAAAGTATAGGCAAGCAGTGATACCCTAAATCACTATTTTAGTACGACTTGTAATTTCATGAATGGTTCATGTGTGCAACAAAGCTGCAATGTTACAGTAAGCAGATGTTTTTAAAACTCATGCCATTAGAACTTTTCAACTTAAGTTTGAAGAGCTCATTTCTTGAAGCCACTAAGAACTCTGGTGGCATTTCACCATCTTTCACGCTATTCTCCGTGAAACTCAACACTGCTATTTTTCAAGTTGTTCTTTAGGTATAATTTCTCTCAGATGTTTTGAAAGTCCTTCAGTTTTCATGTCTTATAGCAAGCACCGGTCTCTGAATAGCAAATGCCTACCAGCAGCCAGTCAAACTGCTTGCTATTAAAACAGCTCCTAGGAAGGAAACAGTTTGTATCACATTGAATGTCCAGACTTCCAGGTGAACAGTTACCTCAATGCTTGCCATTTTTTTTGTGTGTGTGCACACTATAATGTGTCTTCTTAAAATAATTTAAAAACAATGACTCTCATTTTAACTTAACTTCAATTTTTTTTTCAATCTGCAGAAATTATGCTCTTTCATAGTGTCAAGTTTTCTGGTTACGAATGACCTTAATCTTTCACCCCAAGCAGAAGTTCTCCATCTTCCAATGCGTGTTAAGCGATCTTCCCGAAAGGTTCCATCTTTCTTTTAGGAAAACTCACATTTACCCTGGGTAGATAAGTCACACTCCATGCAGCACGCCATGTACACTCTGGGTTGTCATACTAAGCTGCTGAAACTTTGCAGCCACAGAATTACTGGTTCTCATGCAGGGAGCCTGGGTTCAATTTTTAACGACAGCTCATACAATGTATCTTCATCCATAATAATTGATTTGTCAAGTAAGTATTGAATGACCTAAAACAGCAAGGAAGGAAATGTCAAAAATTATAATTCAAAGAGCAACGGTGTTGCAGCTGCACTGTATTTCACTGAACAAGCAATTTAGAGGTAATTAGTACTTGAGAAAATGGACCTGGTTATTGTGGATACAGGACAATATATAATCACAGTATTTCACGTAAGAGCTAGTCAGGTGTGAGGAAACTGATGCTTCTTCTGTCACTCATTTTACCATATACCTATTTCTTTTAGCACTTTTCAATTCCACGGCTTTATTGTATTTTTGCTCTTGGCAATAATTAATAGTATTACCTGATACCAAAACTTTCAGATTGTGGGTTGATGCCCCTCTGTAAGAAATTGGTTAAGTACAGCACAATACAACATATTATTAGACACATCTAAGGTTTTCCTGCCAAATACAAATGTAGAAGAGTGAAAACTGTCAAGGCACACCAACCAAATCACTCAAGTCAACTTCGCCTTCCATCGGGTCTTGCATGCGGTCTGTTGCTGTAGGAAGATCCCTAGCTGTACTCCAATGGTTACAATAGAATAACCACAAATTCAATCAGCCTCAATTTATGCATGTAAATTGATACTGCTGTACAATTAGTCAGACAGTCACTTCAGGATGAAATGGGGTGAGGTACTGTCTGAATTGATCGTCCTTTTTCTTGAGGAAGTCTCTATTATTTTCAGCATTCTTGCTCAAAACTGGCAACCCAAACAATATCTTGTAACTGCACGACAATGCAAAGTTACTTCAAATATTACTTATAAAGTTAAATGCAGGGTCTGACATTTGATGCAGTCTAAACATTGCAAACCTGTATTCCAATGTAAATTTTGAATCCAAATAATCTCTGAAGCTAGTAATTGAATCATCTGAAATCCAAATGAATACATTTGGCCACAAAATTTATAATAGAACTGAAAATAAACAATTCAACACAACATTACCTTTGGTTGATGATCTATTCTGTATGGTGTTTGTTGGAACTGTCGCACCTCCCTGATAATATGCGATATCTAGTTAAAATAATTCCATTATTGGTCACCAATTTTATAAAATCAAGAGCAACAAAGAAAGAGAGTGAATATTTTTCAGCCTTAAGTTCACAAATCAATACATGCAAATAAGTTTGCTGTAGACCACAGCAAAATGTTTCTATGATTACAAAAAGAGAACTTCCAATGGTATGAGAGATTGTAAAGGATCAGATTATTTTTGTAGCACTATTTCCAAAGATGTCTGATAATAAAGACCACTTCAGTAGAACCTCTGTTTTTTTTTCCCCCACAACTATTAAGTAAAAACTTCACAGCTTTATAAGCAGTGACCTCTGGTAGCAGGAATTTACCCTGCGGATTGTCTCTCTTTCACACACACATCTCAATGGTTCTTATCATTGAAACAGATGGCTAACTTATGTATCAAACCTTAACAATTTGAAGCAAAGAAAAACAGAAATTGCTGGAGAAACACAGAAGGTCTGGCAGCATCATTGACGATAAAATAGATGTAACGTTTCGATTCACAACTGAAGGAGGGTCACTAGACTCGAGGCATTAAATCTGTTTTATCTTAGACGGTGCCAGACCTGTTGAGTTTCTTCAGCAGTTTCTGTTTGTGTTTATTTCAGCTTATTTCAGTTTTCCAGCATCTGCAGTTCTTTGTTTTATTGTGGCTCCCCTGGAAGCCTAACAGTATTAAAATAATCTCTGCCAATTTGGGACTTAGGAGGTTTCCCTTTTGCCTCAAAAGAGGAAAACATTCTAAGGTCAGGACAGTTAAAGCTCATGCAGTTTTGTAAGTTTTGGTAGCCTATCTTGACATTGTCCCAACAGCCTACCCCCCTGGTTATGTAAATGCTTTGTAGGCCTTGTTAGTTAATGATGATATAAGCACAATAGTGAGGAATGATGTAAGTTCACAAAGCCAAGGTATGAAAACTGATTGGGTAGAAATGATAAAGGCAGGGAGTCACTTATGGGAGTGGTGTACAGGTCCCACAACAGTTTTGTGAAAGGGAAAACATGTTGTACTAATCTATTGTCGTTCTTTGAGGAGTAACATATGTTGTAGATAAAGGGAACCAGTGGATGGACTGCATTTAGATTTTCATAAGTATTTGATAAGGTTCCACATCAAAATTTATTGCAATGATAAAAGCTTGTAGTGTAGGCGATAGCATATTAGCATGGATAGAAGATTGGATAGCCGACAGGGAGCAGAGAGTGGGTATTTTTTTAGACGGTGATACGTAATGAGGGGTGTGCCACAGGGATTGCTGTTGGAATACCATTACAATTCATATAAATTACTTAAGTGAAGATAGTTATCAAATTTGTCAACAACCCAAAGAAAGATAAGATAGAAGGTAGTGAATAGGACGTAAGGAGGCTAAAAAACTATATGGGTGGATAGAAAGAGTAGACTATGATGTGACAAATGAAGCAAGCATAATATGGAAAAATATAAACTGCCCATTTTGGCAGGAAGAATAAAAAAGAAACTTTTTTTGCTTAAAATTGTGAGAAATTGCAGGGCTCTGAGGTTGTGGGGGGATCTGGGTGTCCTAATGCATAAATAACAAATGGTTAGTATACAGTTACAACAAATAAATGGGACAGTTAGACATTATTGTTTATCATCAGGGGATCTGAAGAAAATAGCAGGGAAGTAATGCCTCAGTTATACAGGATACTGGTGAGACCACATCTGGATTACCGAGAACAGCACTGGTCATGTTATTTAAGGAAGGATGTAAATGTGTTGGAGACAATTCAGAGAAGATTTACCAAACTAATGCCTGGAAAGGGTGAGTTGTCTTATGAGATAAAATGAGAGGTGACTTGATTGGAACATATAAGTTCCTGAGGGTTCTTTCCAGTTTGGATGTGGAGAGAATGTTACCTCTTAGGGGAAAATTTAGAACTAGGGGTCCCCTGTTTACAAATGAAACGTCACCCATTTAAAACTGAGATGAGGCAAAAAAAATTCTCTCAGAAGGTCATGAGTCTTTGTAACACTCAGCCTGAAAAGATGGCAGAAACAGAATGCTTCAATACTTTTAAGGCAGAGACAGATTCTTGTTAAGCAAGAGGCAAATTATATCAGGGATAAGTGAAAATGATTTTCTTTTATACATGTGGTGTGCACCACTGACTGTGTCAGCGTTCATTGTCTATCCCTAGATGCCCTTAAGGAGGCAGCTGATCACCACCTTTCGCAGCTAGTAATGCCCACATCCCATGAGTGAATTTTTAAAAATGGTTTGGGGTACTAAATAGCCTATTCCTGGCTTCTGGTTTGTGTTTTCTTATGTTGAGTTTGAGATGAATCGCTGACCTTAAGGGAAGAAGGCTCAGACGTCTTTTGCCACACTTGGAAAATGGCAGAGTTAATGTCAAGAAAATTACCTGGAATTTCTGAAGTTAAAGAACAAAACAATTTCATAAAATAGATGGAGAAATGTATCACTACTAACGTTATGATCAACAGTTGTCAGCAATTATGTTGCCAAATTTAAGCCCTGTATACACCTCGAACACTGTTACTCATAACGAAAGCAAAATGACCAGTGTGGAATATCATTGAGCCTGCTCACCATTCTCATTTTGGAAAAGTTTACAAGACCTTCTTCAGTAAAATTCGGGGTACCCTCTTCTATAAATGCTAGATCAGTCAAATACATCCCAAGATATGGAACACATGGTGGATTACAACTGTCAAGAAGGAAAAGTTTAAAATTTAATAGCCAATCTTAATTTATGCAATAATCAATGTCATGTGATTAATCTAATTAAACAGAGAATCTCATTTTTATAAGATGGGCAAACAAGCAGACTGCTCTCAGGATGCATTACATATTTAAATTATGTTTCCAGTGTCTGTATGAGGGCATATGTCTAACCAATATTCAGGCTGGAGTATAATGAGACATAATTGTGCCTGAGCAAACTGTTTGCAACATTCCCAACTTCAATTTAGCTTTAAAAATAATTGCAGAGAAGCAGCTTGCCAACTAAAGATAACAAAATAAAATCTTGAAGAACATTAAACCCACAAAAATTTTTTGCATTTACAACCATGTTAGAAAGGGCTACATGTTTTTGATCGATGACTCTCAAAAGCTGCCTCCACGTCACATTTGTCTCATTTCTCTTGAAGTACTTAACTCAGGCTTTCCACATTGTCAGAGGTTTGCAGTTACTGAACTCAAGTTGACGTCTTGCATGCACGAACCCAGACATAAGTATCATCAGGCTATTTTTCCCACACAGCTCCCTGCAAAGATATCCACAAAAACATTTTCAACAGGGTTTACTGCAAAGTGATCTTTTGAGGGTTCCCTGGCTACTCCCCTTCCTAAAAAAAGGTGTTGAAATTAACTGTGGTGCCAATGCTATCACTGACCCAAGACACTGGAGACAGAGGAAAAGAAATCGGTCATTCAGCCCTTCAAGCCTGCCTCACCATTCAATACGATCATGGCTGAGCATACGCTTCAATGCTTTTTAACTCACCTCATCCCCATAACACCGGTAATCAGAGATCTATCAATTTCTCCTCACCCTGGATCTAAGCGGCATTCTCCTTATTTTTAAAACTGTACACCTTGATTTTAGACTTCCCCAAACACTGGAAACATTTGACTTGCATCTATCCTGTCCATCGCTTTAGGTAATTTGTAGGTTTCATAGCAACAAAGAAGGATATGAGCAGGAGGAGGCCATTCGGCCCTTCGAGCCTGCTCCGCCATTCTTCACGATCATGGCTGATCGTCCAACTCAATAACCTAATCCTGCTTTCGCTCCATAATCTTTGATCCCATTCACCCCAAGTGCTATATCTAGTTGCCTGTCGAATACATTCAATGTTTTGGCATCAATTACCTCCTGCGGTAATTCCACAGGCTCACCACTCTCTGGGTGAAGAAATGTCTCCTCATCTTCATCCTAAATCGTCTACCCCGAATCGTCATACCGTGACCCCTGGTTCTGGATACACCCACCATTAGGAACATCCTCCCTGCATCTACCCTGTCCAGTCCTGTTAGAATTTTATAAGTCTCTATGAGATCCCCCCTCCCCCGCATTCGTATGAACTCAAGCAAAAACAATCCCAAAGTCAATCTCTCCTCATAGGTCAGACCCCCCCCATCCCCAGAATTCACCTGCTAAACCTTTGCTGGACTCTCTCGAGAGCAAGAGCATACTTCCTCAGAAAAGGAGACCAAAACTGCACACAATATTCTTGGTGTGGCCTCACCAAGGCCCTGCATAGCTGCAACAACACATCCCTGCTCCTGTACTCGAAACCTCTCACAATGAAGGCCAACATACCATTTGCCGTAATAAAATCCAAAAGAACTGCGGATGCTGTAAATCAGGAATAAAAACAAAGTTGCTGGAAAAGCTCAGCAGGTCTGGCAGCATCTGTGAAGGAGAAAACAGAGTTAACGTTTCAAATTTGGTCTGGAATTGGAAAACTTCATCAATTTCACCTCCAATTTCCACCCTGCCCTCACTTTCACCTGGTCTATCTCTGACTCCTCCCTTCCCTTCCTCAACATTTCTGTTTCCATTTCTGGGGATAGACTGGCCACTAATATCCATTACAAACCCACTGACTCCCACAGCTACCTGGACTAAAATTCCTCACACCCCACTTCCTGTAAAGACTCCTTCCCATTCTCTCAGTTCCTCCATCTCTGTCGTATATGTTCAGATGAGGCCAACTTCAACAAGGGAGCCTCTGAAATGTCCACCTTCTTCCTCAACCGAGGTTTCCCCAGCTCCGTTGTCGACAGGGCCCTCAACCAGGTCCGACCTATCTGCTGCACTTCCACCCTCACCCCTTCTCTTCCCTCCCGCAACAGTGACAGGGTTTCCCTTATCCTTACCTACCATCCCACCAGCATCCACATCCAGAACATCATCAGACGCCATTTCCGCCACCTCCAACAAGATGCCACCACCAGACACATATTCTCCTCCCCTCCCTTGTCCCCTTCTGCAGGGACCATTCCCTCCGGGACACCCTGGTCCACACTTCCTTCACTCCTAACACCTCCCCACAGCCCTACGGCACCTTCCCCTGTAACCGGTGAAGGTGCAACACCTGCCAATTTACCTCCTCCCTCCCCAGTATCCAAGGGCCCAAACATACCTTCCAGGTGAAGCAACACTTCACCTGCACTTCCCAGAATCTAGTCTACTACATTCGCTACTCACAATGTGGTCTCCTCTACATTGGGGGAACGAAGCGTAGACTTGGTGACCGCTTTGTAGAACATCTACGACCTACTCGCGAAAAAGACCCTGAACTACCCGTTGCCTGCCACTTCAACGCACCATCCTGTTCCCTGGCCAACATCTCTGTCTCTGGCTTGCTGCAGTGTTCCAGTGAAGCCCAACGCAAGCTGGAGGAACAACACCTCATTTTCCGCTTGGGGACCCCACAGCCCTCTGGACTCAATATTGAGTTCAATAATTTTAGGGCCTAAACTCTCCCCTGTCCCACCCCCCACCCCACACACCAGGCCTTGTTATCACATAGCCTGCCACTACACACCCCCTGTTGTTAGTCACTAACAGTCCCCATTAACAACTGTTCATCCTCCCAGCCTGATCGTTAGCAACTCCTTTGTCTGTCCAACTGTCTTTCTCTCTCTTTGGGCTCTATCCTATTGTTTACTCCCTATCCCACCCACCTCCCTATTTTCTGCATATAAACTGACGTTTTCCCAGCTACCATTAGTTCTGAGGAAGGGTCACCGGACCCGAAACGTTAACTCTGTTTTCTCCTTCACAGATGCTGCCAGACCTGCTGAGCTTTTCCAGCAACTTTGTTTTTATACCATTTGCCTTCTTTACTGCCTGCTGCGCCTGCATGCTTACCTTCAGCAACAGCCAGGTCCCACTGCACACTCCCCTCTCCCAATTTACAGCCATTCAGATAGTAATCTGCCTTCTTGTTTTTGCTTCTGAAGCGAATAACCTCACAGTTATGCAAATTATACTGCATCTGCCATTGATTTGCCCACTCACCAAACCTGTCGAGATCATACTGAAGGATCTCTGCATCCTCGTCACAGTTCACCCTCCCACCCAACTTGGTATCATCTGCAAACTTGGAGATGATACATTTTGTTCCCTCATCCAAATCATTAATATATATTGTGAGTAGCTGGGGTCCCAGCACCAAACCTTGTGACACCCCACTAGTTACTGCCTGCCAATTTGAAAAGGACCCATTAATTCCTACTCTTTGTTTCCTTTCTGCTAATGAATTTCTTATCCATCTCAATACACTTACCCCAAACCCATGCGCTTTAATCTTGCACATTAATTTCTTATGTGAGATTTTGTCAAATGTTTTCCGAAAGTCCAAATATACTACATCAACAGGCTCCCCCTTGTCAACTCTACTAGTTACATCTTCATCGAATTCCAACAGATTTGTCAAGCATGATTTCCCCTTCATAAATCCATGCTGACTGTGTCTAATCCTGCCATTGCTTTCTAAATGCTCTGCTATAAAACCAGATCTGTATTTCACTGTGTGAGAAACCCAGATGTATTGTGGTGAGGTGTCCCCTAAACATTCATCGATGCTCTCTCCTGCTTGCTCTGTAATGACTGTGCCACGTGTGCCCCAGCAGCACTTAGCTTCCAGACCAGGCCTCTCTTTCCTCTGTCACCACTGCCTCTGGAGGAGCCTGGCTCACTGTCAGAGGGTTTAAGGCACTGACCACACTCATGGATTGAGTGTATCCATGATGAGGCTGGTTGCAGATGGACAAGTATGATGCTGTGTCCTCAAACACATGTGGACTGTGTTCTGCTGAGGAGGCTTAAGGTGGAACATGTGGGGCTGGTCACAACTAACTACAGCAGTCAAACCCACAAATGAAACATAAAAACAACTGCTGGAGCGGTGGTAATATTGACGGCTAGAAGTCATGGGTGCAGCAGATTGCCATGGCATCTAGAGATTATGGGTTAAGTACAAATCCATTCCTCCTTACTGTCCACACCTGCCGATTAAACTTAGCATCAGATATGGACTGACCACACTGTTGGACTGCCATTTCCAGGAATCCCAGCTCTGCCTCTACAGGCAGAGGAAACTCCAACACTCCACTCCTTGCTCTTTGCTCTTTTTCTGGCATGGTAGGCCCTTTATCCTCCAAGATTTAGGGGAGAGGTTTCCAGAGATGCTGGGGAGAATGCCCTACCTGCCTCACTCCCGTGAGGCTTCAGGTTGTCTTCCAATCCTCAGCCTCTCAGGAAATCTGGGTAGAGCAAAGAGGAAGATGCACAAACAGAGGAAGCACCAACATGTGCAGCCTGAGCAACTATGAAAACTAGCATAAGGAACACTTTACACTTCAACAATGTTCCTAGGCATTGCCGTAAGATCAGGTCGGCACTCAGGTGAGTGAAAATTAACAGCTTTATTGAACATAATAACATACAAGGAACAGTAAGAGGTTCTGGAACCCTACAGACTCAACTGCCAGGTCCATGTGGTCCAAAGTCACTATGAACCAGCTCCTTATGCACATGACTGGTAACTATTTTTAGGGTAAAGGTGCAGTTAACCCTTTACCCCACAGATATTAACCATTCACTGCCCCTACTTTTCCCACTCACACTTTATTCACTTTGACGGGACAGCACCCAAATTTGGCGTGATAGTTGGAAAAGGTCAATAAGCATCACCCACTCTGTAGAGGAGATATGAACATGAGGGCAGCTTAGGATCTCGAAGGAGTGAGATCTAACATCTGGACTTCCTCAAATTCTCCAACAGTGTCTAGCATATCAATGTTAGCTGTACCTAGTTGCTAACACATCATAAATTATATCTTGTTAACTACAAAAGACTATTCTAATTAAGCAAGGAAGTGGTTTTCTCTCTACATTCTAGACCAAGCAGGTCTTGTAGATTCCTACCCTTAAACAGGATGGTCACAGGAGCTCAAACAGTGCAGTGAGTGGGCATTGCCGTAATACAAAACCCACCCTTGTAGTGCAGAGGAGGTCATTCCTCTTTTATTGGCACTGAGCCCAGTATTTCAGATAGAACCACTGGCCATTCATCTCCATGGTGACCTCCATGTCTTGGTCATCAATGATGGTCTTTGACAACCATCAGCTGGAAACAGAATCTGTGTTTCTGAATGTCCTGGAGGAGATCACACACCAAACTCTCACTGATCCCTGCAGCAAAGTATTGGGTCAACAGTGGCATCTCCAAGCTCAGTACCCAGCAAACTCTTACAAAGATAGAGAATTCTCCTCTGTGTACCCTCAAAGGTGTTCTCTTACAACATTCACACAGTTGGCCAATTTAATTACAGTCCTCCCTCAAAAGGCCCACGTGGGGGATATCAGCTCTTAAAAAAGGCCTTTCTGCCCTTTCAATGTGGTGATTTATCCTGGAGGGAGACCAGATGATGTGGGATTCACGATCTCACGGTTGCCCCTCTCACCTGTTCTGGCAGCGAGCTCATAGTGGCAATATTGAGGAACTTGCCACCCACTGGATCCGGTCTAGATGGCCACATCCTCTCTACACCAGATTCCCTCACTTTTTCTGGGCTTGCCAACTGGCTGGGACCAAATCTAGTTCAGAGCTAATGATTCAGCTCATGATCTTTCATCAGAACATATTAAGACTTTATGGTGCAGGCAGGGCGTGGAGAATGATCAATGTGACATGGCTCAATTCAAACAGGGTCTTAGAACCCATCTAAATTAAATTACCACCTGCATATGATCCGGTGTGTGGCAAGTTCTTGAATATAGACAATGTGAGTTTGCTCTGAGACACACTATGCCACAATGTGTCCATTTATAGAGCTCACCTTACCAGAAATTGCACAACCTGATAGTGCATCATTTGTATCCGAAAAGAAACAAAAAGGTCTCATGTTCACATAATACTTGATTAACCTTTCAGAACATTTCAAATCAGTTCACATATCAATTACTTTTGCAGTTGACAAATATAATACATTCTGTGCTCTTATTGTTGGGAATGTTGCCACAGCTAATCACTAGGTTTCAGTCTGTGAGGAAAATTGTTTTATTAAAGAAAGCTTAATAGATTCTATGTGCTTAGTTGGTTTGAGATGAAACATAACAAATGCATCAAAGGTCCATTCCCATTGAAGAGTAAGCAAGGAGATTTGTTAATATTTATTATACACAACCAAGCACCTCAAAAATAAAACTAACTTTTTCAGTGTTTCTCTTAGATTTTTAAATCTTCCTTCTGACGAGACGATTTTCTGGAGCTTGTCCATTTGAGCTTTGGTCTAAAACAAATAATATCACATTTTTTTAATGATCACAATTTTAAAATGTTACCAACTAATTAATCAAGATCACAGACTATAAATACTTCATGATATGAAAATATATTACAATGTGCATAGATTAAAGCACCAATCTTAAAATCTAATTCTGTTTTCAGTAGATTGGAAAGATAATATTCGGACCTTTAACAGGGAATTGCAAGACAGATCAACAGAAAATCATGTGATGGCTTTTCATCTTCCTTAGCCCAAGGAGTACAGAGGCCCACAAATTATCCTAACTGCTAACATGATTTACATTGTAACTTAACTGGGGGAAATTCCTAAGTATTTCCGATCAGGCAATGACATTCATTATCAGATCATCTTTAATGGAGACTTGGAATTTTTCTGAATATTCTAAATTTAATCAGCTGTATCAGTAAATTTTGCAGGTTAGATAAGCAGAAGAAATATGTTGGGGTTTTGCTTGCGAGGAGTAAACTGAAGAAATTCTGTCATGGAGATGACTGGGCCCATTGGTGGGAAAACCCTGTAGGGGCTCTGGGCTGAGTTTACCAAAAGACAGGAAATCTCAACACTGGGCTCAATGCAGGTCACATGGTTTCAAGGTCAGGTGATCTGACATCCACAAGGACTTTGCTGGATGCAGTCATTTAACATCTGGGGTTGCTGACCAATAATGGGTGGCAGATGGAGGAAGGGTCGGCAGTTCAAAGGCAGGCGCCATATTGAATGGGAAAGTACCTTTCTACAGGTCATCCACAGAGATCCAATGCTGACCAAGAATGGCTGGAGTCAGAGGAAAGACAACACCATGGTCTACTGAAGGCTCCCTAGAGGTGCTTCTGCAGACCCTGAGGTAACAGAGGAAGGTGCTGATCCCAATGGATGAGAGGTGGTAGTCAGCAAGCCTCATGAAGAAGGCACAGCTGGAGGTGGGTCAAGGAAGTCAGCAGCCATTTGGTGGTTACATAATCATGAGTGCATTGCTGTAACATTAAATTGACCTGGTACATTCTTTCAAGGTGAGTAGCTATAGTGAGTTCAAAATAGCAAACTGCATTCTTGCAGATCAGAAGTGGAAGCCGGCGTGGCAAGTTCATATATAACCTGACATCAACATCCCCAGAGAGAAGCAGAATAGGCTCATACAGGAGATTCATGATCAATCAGGGGTGATCGTTGCATAATCAAGACAGAATGGCTACTTGCAGCAGACTTCCCAAAGGCCCAATTCTTGTCAAGGATGTTGGCATTGAATGAGGACTGCCATGGACCTATGAGAGACGCATGACACTGTGTACATTGTGGACTAAGTTAAGGCTGAAAGATATCAATTTTAAAGGACATGAGAATCAGCGTTACAAGGGGCAAGCAGGAAAATAGTGTTGAGGCCACAGTCAGATCCATCTTGGACTCATCAAAAAGGGGAGCAGCTTGAGGATTCAACGATCTTCTTCTGCTCCTAATTTTTGTGTTCTTGTGGGTTCAGGGGAATACCAAGGAGTGCAGAAAAACTGGAGCTGATGTGCAGTTCATAAGAAACATATCTATCTCCTTCTTGAAAGCATTCAATGTTTTCACCTCAACCGCTTTCTGTGACAGAAAATTCCACAGGCTTTCCATTCTCTGGGTGAAGAAATTTCTCCTCATCCCAGTCCTAAATGGCTTACTCTGTACCCTTAAACCACAACCCTGGTTCTGGACTCCCTAGAACATTGCTCCTGCATTTTCCCTGTCTAGTCCTGATGGAATGAGACTTACATTTGTCTTCACTAATTTTGGATCCAATTTACCAAATTGCCCTGGATTCCATGGATTTTTACCTTCTCAGCCAGTCTGCCATGCAAGACCTTGTCAAAAGCTTTATTGAAGTTCATTAGACTACATCAGCTACACCAATCTCATCCATACACCTGGTCACCTCCTCAAAAAGTGCAAACAAATTTGTTAGACATGACCTCACCCTGACAAAGCCATGCTGATATTCTTGATTATTCCTTGCCTCTCCAAATGGAGATTAATTCTGTCCCTCAGAACTTTTTCCCCCAATAGTTTCATACCACAGATGTTAGATTCGCTGGCCTATAGTTTTCAGGTTTAACCCCTACCATATTTCTTAAATAATGAAATCACCTTAACTGTTCTCTCATTCTTTGGCACCTTCTATATGGCCAGAGAGCATTTGAAAATTAATGTCAGAGCCTCTGCAATCTTCTTCTTTCTCTCTCACAGCAGCCTGGGATACATTTCACTTGGGCCTGCTAAAACTGCTAGTAATTGCTCCTTCTCAATGCTAATTTTTCAAAAATATTGCAGACCTCTTCCTGATTTCTATCCCTACATCATCCTTCTCTATTGTGAATACAGGTGCAAAGTATTTATTTAAAACCACACCTTCCATCTCCTCACACATATTGCTACTTTGCCCCCTAAAGGGCTTCTGCTCTTTCCTAGTTACTTTTGCCCCTAACGTACTGATAAAATGCCTTTGTATTTTCTTTTATTTTACTCATTAGTGTTTTATCATGACTGTACTGTACTTTGCTTTTCTAATTCCTTTAAATAATTCCTGCACTTTCTATATTCCTCTAGGAGCTTCAACATTCTTGAGCCTTCAGTATATGTCATAAGCTCCCTTTTTGCTCCTTATCCAATCAATGCCTTGATATCCAATGTTTTCTGGACTTGTTGATCCCACCATTCACCTTTATGGGAACACATTAATTCTGCACTGTCACAATTACCCTTTTAATTGATTCACACTGCTTTAATATGGACTTTTCTCAAGTAGTTGCTTTCAGTCCACTTTGGCAACATCCAGTATTATTAAAATATTAAAATCCACCTCCTGCCAATTCAGAACTTTTGCTTGCAATTGTTCTTTTACTTTTTCTATAACTACCTTAAATCTTGCTGTATTACCATCACTATTACCAAAATGTTGCCCCACTGACACTTCTACCACCCACCCAGCTTTGTTCCCTATAATTAGGTCCGGTACCGCCCGCTCTCTTGTAGGGCTTTCCACATGTTGGCTTAAAAAGTTCCACTGGACACATTTTAAGAATTCTGCTCCCCTAACCAATTTACAATTTGTCTATCCCAGTTAATATTGGGGAAGTTGAAATCCCTTGTTATTACCTTATTACTTTTACACTTCTCTCAGATTTGCCTACATACCTGACTTTCCATCTCTCTCTGACTGTTTGACTATCTACAGTACACTCCCAGCAAAACAACTGTTCCCTTTACATTTTTAAATTCTACACATATGGCCTCATTTGACAAACCTTGCAAGATATTATCCCTTTTTAATGCAATAACTAACTCCTTGATTGATATTGGAACACCATCTCCTCTTTTATACCATCTCCCATCTTGCCTGAATATCCAACTGCCACTCCTGCCTTTCTATCAACAAGGTCTATGTGATAACAATGATATAATATTCCCATATATTAATCAGCACCTTCAACTCATCTGCCTTACTTGCAAGGCTCCTTGCATTAAAACAGATGTCATCCAACTTTGCCAACCTTTAACTATAAATGGTCCACCTTCCAGACTGATTTGGTTTCTCATCTATACTTTGCTGTGCATCATCTGCTACTCTACCTCCACTCTGTAACCCATTCCCAGCAAAATTAGTTCAAACTATCATTAATAGGAAAACCCCCAAAAGGAACATGGTCCCATTGCCATTCAGGTGCAAGCTGTCGGACTTGTACAGACCCAGTGATCCAGGAATCTAAAGCCCTCCCTCCTACACCAACTCTCTAGCCATATGTTCAGCTGCTCCATCTGCCTATTCCTATGCTCACTCACTGTGAGTAACCCAGAGATTACAAACTTTGACGTCCTGCTTTTTGACCTGCTTCCTAAATTCTCATTGCAGGACTTCATCCCTCAATCTGCTTATGTTGTTGGTCCCACTGAGAACCGTAGACTCTGACTGTTCATTCTTCCCCTTCCAGGTGCCCTGCCATCGTTCAGTGACATTCGTGACATACTATCCTGTCTTTACCGCTCTCTATTCACTCTCCTACCACTACTGCTCTTCTGCTCTTTCTCCTCCCCTCCCCCCTTGTAAATGAACTCCGCCTTCAGTCCCACAGGAACCATCCATCTCTACATTTTTTAACATACAAAAGCTGTTCTTGACCAAGCTGGCTGGTCTAATTGGTATGATAGCCCTGTTTCCTGGTACACTCTAGGGCTTTCCTGACTGCCTGCTGCCTCGCTTCTTCTGACTGATGGTCACCAATCCCGTGCCTAAAGCTGCAGGTTGACCATCTCTAAAAGCTTGTTCTCCACATCAGCCTCAGGCTCACAGTGCCATGCTTACAGCTGATGTTCAAGTTCCAAAATCTAATGCTCAAGCCAGTCAAACCCGTTCCAGGAGAATCTAAGAATTGCCACTTACTGCAGACTGTGTAATATATGGGACTGAGCTCCACATCCATTCTTTCAGTTAAAATGCTCTTACCTTCAATTTTAGCCAAGGAGAAAACTATTTAAGATTTTTTCTTTAAAAAGGAACCTAGAATCCATAGCTTTCTTTAATGCAGCTTTAAAGTGGAGAGAAACAACATATCCACACAGGACAGGTTATAGGTTGGTTCATGCGGTTTACTGGACACTTGCCTTTGTCAGTCATGGCATGGATTATAAGAGCAGGGAGATTGTGTTGGATCTATACAAAACCTTGGCTAAGTCACACCTGCGTGCAGATCTGGTCACAGCGCTATAGTACATATGTAATTACACTGAAAGGGTTACAGAGAAGGTTTACCAGGATATTGCCTGGGATAGAGCAGTTTAGCTATCAAGAGAGGCTGGATAACCTCAGGCTGTTTACTTCTAAGCATACAATACTGAGAGGGGACCGGATTGAACTGTATAAGATTATGAGGTGCATGAACATATTGGATAGAAAGCAACTAATACCTTTAGCTGAAGGCTCTATAAAAAGGAAGCATTATTTTGTACATTTTAAGGAAAAAGACAGGAGATTTATAGTGGATTTGAGGACTTTGGTTTCACTCAGAGGATGGTGGGAATCTGGAATGCACTGTCTGAGAGGATAGTTAAGGTGAGAAACCTCACAACTTTTAAACAGCACTTGGATGAGCATTTGAAGTGTCATAATATTCAAGTCAATAGGCCAAGTGCTGGAAAGTAGTACCAGTGTAGATTCAGAGAAGTTTCTGTCATTGCAGACTTGATGGGCTGGAGGGCCTTTTCTGTACTGTATGATTTTATGATTCTATCAAACAGCTTTTTGCTTTGTGTTAACGTCACTTTCATTAATCTTTTGGAATATTGGTTTTGGGGTGGTTGAGAAGAGCACAGATTCCTGTTAGAGTTAGATGCTGCTCTATCTGAATCAATCGTTCATTCATCTATTGATGTTATGGCTGCAAAATCCTTTGAACTCTCACTCTTTCCTATGTTAGTTTTATGGCCTGAACTCCTCCACTTACACCTTGTTATGGGGTCCCCACCTCAACCACTCCTCTCCAAGAGAATGAAACGATGGCCTTGAATCCCATCACCCTCCCAAGCTGGCTGGTCTAATTGGTATGATAGCCCTGTTTCCTGGTACATATCATTGGTTTGATAGGCTACTGACTGAGAAAGCAGACAGATATTTTCAAATGATCCCAGGGATGATTTTAAGGTGTAAATAATAAATGCCCCAGTCACCTTAACTCCCTCAAGACACTGGTAATCTTGGTGGCCAATAAAACCTCCAGCATTCTGAACAGCTTTACTACCACTACCATAGAGATATTGTCTTCAGGGACACTGTGGCATAAGACTGAAACAAAGTCGCTGCAAAACTTTGATCTGAAAAGCACCTCTGTGGCAATGAGCCGACCTTTTTGGCCTTTGTGCCTTCCTCGACAACATTCACTCATCCCTTATTGCAAATCTGACTGGCTTAACTCCACTCCTTATGGCAGGAAAAGCTAGAGTCAAACCTGGAGTGTGCATTAACAACTGTAACCCTCAAAGGCTCTGAATTCCCTCATGCTGCCAGCACTGAGAAACTTGTCTGGCAATAGGAAGACATCAGGCTTCTGCTCTATTGTAGTCTCCCAACAGTTTACAGTCCCTCCCTTTACTATATCTCTCACCAAAGTGCCAGTAGAATTATGTCATTTTGTGGATTCCTAAAATGGATTAGGATTTTAAAGGGTACCCTATGACTTGAGCTGTGTTAATTGGATAAATTCAATTGGATCCATTCATCTAATATGGAAAAAAACCCAGAAACTCGTGGTGTATATGCTTTCATGTCTTTTTCCCCAAATGTAGCCTTTTTTTTAAACCCTTTAACAATGTGTTTTCTTGCTAAAGTATATTTGAGGAAAAGAAGCAGTATGGAATTAGTAAGGCATCTAGAATTTAATTTTCAAATGCTTATTTTAGTTTCCCTTTGTTTGAACAGAACGGGAAGCATTTTGACAATAAAATCACAAGTAACGTATTAGGATCTTGCACAGGAACTCTCACGATTGACATTCATTACCTGTTTGGAAACCTTTGCCCAGGTTTTCTTCAGTCTATAGATAGCACTCCTGTTCAGGGCTGATGTGATCTCAAGGACTCCATTGTAGTTGTGCAGACATCGGCAAACGTCTCCCACTGCTACCCATTTCTCAATGGAAACCGTGCGTGAACTGACATCAGCATGCATCATGATTTGAGAAGCAACAAGGTTACTCATCTGAAGGAGAAATTGTAGTAATAGGGAAATGAGTGGTGTTTATTATCATTGGGAAGAACAGCAGATGACAGGATATAATTACAATGGCTGTAATTTAATGAAGGGTTTAGGCTGACATTTTATTACAGACTCTAAATAATTCCTCTGCAGTAGTCATTATTTAACATTGATCCAAGATACTAATTTTTTTTTAGAGATAGTAGGAACTGCAGATGCTGGAGAATCTGAGATAACAAGGTGTAGAGCTGGATGAACACAGCAGGCCAAGCAGCATCAGAGGAACAGG